GAAGCCGTACCCGCCCGCGCACATGGGGCACCCATAGTGTACACTGCCGTAGAGCTCGAGTGCGAATCGACGCGCCGAGGACGAGCGCGGTTTACCCCATGTCGCCCCTAGCCACCCTCGTAAGCTCGCACCGGTCTCTGTCCCAACGTACCCTGACACCCTCCCTCGTCATTATCGTGTATCTGTCTCATGCATCCAGTGCACATATACTCCCTCTTCATAAATGCAAGCTCCCGCATGATTGACTTCCGCAGCACTGCCTCAAACTCTCTGTAAGCCGTTATGAAGAACTGTTGGAAGCTGCAGTACGACCATCCATTGGGATTGACTCCGCTATAGGACGAGACGAGTGAAAGGGGCGACCCGATAAACCCGATCGGCTCAGACTACCTCACGACTGATGCGATCTGCGCGCGTGCGGGATTAGTTGCCTTCTATGGCAAGTCTGCTCGCGTGCACTCACACGAAACGACTGGTAGCCAACACCCAGCTTCTCATCGTCAACCCTCATGGCGGTCTTCTCCATATTGCTATCCGCTGCGCTCTGCACTGCAAGAGGTATCTCGCCAGAGAACGATGATTCAAGATCCGGTCCATGTCATGGCTGAACGGCACATGGCTACCGGTCACTGCCTGCTTAGAAAGATGCACGCGCTTTGGGAGCCAAGCACCAAGGCAAAAGGTGGAAAGTTGTTGTGGTGAGCTTAATATATCGTGGGTCTTGCGACAATGGCCGCACCAGCATCTCGCCATACGAACGAATGGTCGTCATACGTGTTGTGGTCGCTCATATCTTTCTACTTTCTCGATTCATGGCTATTTTCATGAACTCGGGGGCTCGATGACCTGTTATGCATGCAGGCTGCTGGACAAGCACGTCGTCATGTCATCTGCGTGGAGACGCGGACGGATCCCGCGCGTCCTGTTGTTCTCTCGCACCTGGGCGCCATTATATGATGACCTGGCGCGTGGGCTGCTCGGTGATTACCGTGCCTTTCAGCTCGTACACGTGCATGAATGGAGGAAGGCGCACTCACGAAGGATCCAGCTTAAAATCAATCCACCATCCTCCAACCCTCCGAAGCACAGTCGATGCAATCCGAAACCTCCCCACATGCTCGCGATCCTAACGGTCTCAAGCGCAAAAGGAGCGAGCCCGGTCTTTTCACTCGTCTTCTATCATGGCTACCCTTCAGGCGCGACGTGCCACCAAGCGAGAGCGGCCCACGTCAGACCTCCGAAGAGTATACACCGCACACGCGAGCCAACATGGTTGCTCGTGAGGAAGGATGGGCAGTCAAGAGGCGTCGAATGAACGAAGAGGATGCGATCGAAGATGCGACGCTGGCCTGCGCGCGTCAGGAGTACGTCGCCGAAAAGGGCAAATCTAAAGAGAGGAGCGACACAGACAATCATACTGTCTTGAACGACAACGGCGCTGCTCTGCGTGACGGGCGGGTCTCACCTCCCGCTCATCCTACTCTCTGTGCCGCGAATGACAGGCTTGTCATCGTCAAGATTGTGCTCGTCAACTTCAAGAGCTTCGCAGGCAAACAGGAGATCGGGCCATTTCATAAGGTAGTGTGACATTCGCCGAGTCTTCAGGCATGTGCGCATCACTGACAATGAGCTCAGTCTTTCTCCTGCGTCGTGGGGCCAAATGGATCCGGCAAGTCAAACACAATCGACGCGATACTCTTTGCATTCGGATATCGTGCAGCGAAGATGCGACACCCAAAACTGTCAGAGCTCATACATAACTCGGCACACCAGCCAGGCCTGAATGAATGTTCTGTGGCGGTGTTTTTCCAGAGGATATATGACAAGGTACGCCTATCCGATGACGGTAAGATCATAGCACTGAAGATAACTTCCGTCAGCCCGATCAGGATGACTTCTGCCCCGTACAGGGCTCTGACTTTTGTATCGCCAGAACGGCATATGCGGACAACACCAGCCAATACGCGATTAATTCAGAAAAACGAAGTCACAAGGAAGTACAGGACTTGTTGAAAGGTCACGGCATCGACATAATGCATAACCGTTTTCTCATCATGCAGGTGCGGCTTGGCACTCTGGACAATCATCTCAGGGCCATTGTCTCACGTCCAGCTTCACTGACCACACTTACGCAGGGAGAAGTTGAATCCATCGCTCAGATGCGGCCCAGGGCTCCTTCGGCACATGAAGATGGACTCTTGGAATACTTTGAAGATGTGATTGGCACGAGTGCTTACGGGTCCGTGATTGAAGACCTGTGGGCGCAATGTCTAGTCGCCAAGGAGGACCTCGTCCATGCTCAGGATCGTTTGCGCGTCGCTCGTCAGCGTAAAAACGCGCTTGAAGGACCCAAGACGGCTGCGGAACAGTACATTCGTCTCGCTAACGCATTGGTCAGGACCAAGAGCCTGCTCCTTCAATATCAGATTTACCGTGAGATGATCGAGAGGGACTCTCTCGACGACTTGCTTGTAAGAGTATTTCTACAGTCCGTCGCAAATTCCAGAATAACGGCGAAACAGGGTCTCTCAGAGGCGACACTGCGAAAGCTCCAAGATCAGTATGAAGAAATGCTCGCGGCGCAGCAATGCTTCCGTCAACGCGCTGGTGAGCATAGAAAAGGACTGGAGGTCAGAACTCGCAAGAGTCCTACACTATGACCGACATTCTGACGTGTCGGCAGATCCTTAACAGCGTTGTAGAGTTGTTGTCCGTCTGTAACACTGAGACGGCTGAGTATTGCGCTCGGGCCAAGCGCCGGCACCAGGATGCGCTAGGCCAGCATCAGAGAGCTGTCGAGGCGAAGCTATTGGTGCGGCGGTTTCCCCTCTCATAGAGCCTTCAATACTGACGAGTCTACCCTGCAGAATGAGTCATCGATTGATGTAGCAAGGCAAACCGTTGTGGGCATGGATCAGACGCTCGCGAAGATGTCAACCAGGATATTTGAACTGGAGGGGAGTCTCGCGGCGGCGCGAAATGACTGCGAAACGACCATGTATGCTATTGGTGGTACGTAACGTGCGCTGAACGTATAAGACCATTCATGTACCGACGGGCAGGTGAAACCATCCGGCTACAGCAACTCATCGACGAGAAGCGCCAGGAACTCTTACCCTGCACAAACGAGCTTTTCCAAGTCCAGCGCAGGATCGATGTCTGCATAAGTTCGCGTGATATCTACACTCGCAGACTCCAGGTATCGAGGCTGGCAACCTGTGAAGTTCAAGCGCGCCTTTCCGAATTGCGACGTATGGAACAAGCCAAAGTGAGTCACCGTAAGGAACTATATTCGGCCCATTCCTGACGCCTAGAGATGTAGCTTCTTGAGCGAGATGAATTATTGCTGAGGAAGACTTCTGCGCAAGTAGAGCTCGCGAACGCTCTCCATCGCCGCACGGAGCTTAATCAGGATATACGCGGTCTCGACACAGAGATATCACACCTCGCGGCGAGGCTAGAGGAATCGCGCCTAGCGTGGTCGGCTAGCGAGAATCAAGATCGCTCATTACGGGCATTGAACGACCTCTCTACCGCAGAACACATCACTGGTTTCCACGTATGTCCTTATCTTTCGCCCCTGTTCAACTATGTCATGTCGTGAATAGGGACGTCTTGGTGGACTGGGGACCATCGACGCTACATACGACATCGCGATCACGACGGCCTGCTCTGGCCTCAACAGCATGGTCTGCGATACCGTTGGGCAGGCAGAGATGTTCATGGACCACCTCCGCACCCACAACATCGGTCGAGCGAGCTTCCTGGTTCTTGAAAAGCTCTCCATGCCGCTGCATCTTGAGTCGACCCCTCTTCCCCGGCTATTTGACCTAGTACGATCCAGCGATCCCCGCTTTCTACGTGCTTTCTGGCACGCACTAGGAGATACGTTGGTTGCAAAAGACATAGATGAAGCCAATCGCGTCGCTGTGGGTGGCATCCGTCGCTACCGGGTTGTTACCCTAGACGGGTTGCTCGTCAACCCGAGTGGAACTATGTCCGGTGGCGGCTCTCCTCAGCAAGGTGGAATGAGTGGTCTTCGCTCGTCAGGATGTATTCCAGCTGCCGAGGTACAAGCCCTCGAGCAGGGTCACGAGAAACTAAGCGAGAGGCTCGCGAAGGCACAGCTTGAGTTGGAATTAGCGGACACGGCCGCGCGCAAGCTCGAACGCGATGCCCCGGAGGTTGAGCAAGCTTTACGACTGGTGCACGTCGACTTGGAGGACTTGGAACGTCAGCTCGTGGATGCGAGGAGGAGTATTCAGCAAAAGGACGGCGAGAGTTCGGACGAGAAGGAAGTGGAGGATCTAGGCAATGAGCACCTGGTGTTGATGCGCGAGAAAATCGCGTCTCAGGAGAAGGTAGACAAGATAGAAGGCGAGATATGTCTTCTGCACAAGGCACTCATGGCTGCAGGAGGATCGAGGCTGTTGGAGCAGAGAACTCTGGTAGAGACCATCGGTCACTCGCTAGACATCGCGGCAGAAGAAACGACGAAGGCCGAACTGGAGCGCGATCAGATGAAGGAGAAGATACAGCAGCGGATCAGCGCTAGGTTAGGTCACGACGAGCGTATTCGAGGAGCAGAAGAACGAGTAGAACACCACAGACTGAATACCGAGGATGCGCATCGCCTTCTCAAAGCAGGTGAAACGAGTAGGGAAGAATCCGACTTGGAACTCGAGCGTGTCCGTGAACAGTGCGCTGCAATACGGAACCGGCTGGACGAGTCGGTCCAGGGCTCACAGACAGTCCGCAAGCAGATTGTAAGAGAGCTTTACACGTTCAGTCAGTCCGTTGCTTACAATAATGCCGGGCCTGTAGGCTGAGTGTTCGTCTCAAATCTCACAACTCAGAGCCGAGCGAGATCGCCATTCTACCGTCATCGCTGCGTACATTGCCCAACGTGCAGAACTCACTCTCGACCCGACTGAGGCTGAGTACGTGTGGACTAGTACTGTACTCTTCGCGAAGGCTCATGTCATCGCAGTATGGATCCTGAGATAGGCCCACTAGCAGAAATCATACGTATGTAAAACTTTGCTCTGCGATCCCGACGAACACGGCGCAGATTGAATATAGGCGAACCAGGGTTTGGTGGAGTTACCGAAGATGCCAACGAGATGAAGCGCTTTCAACACTACACGGAAAACGAGTTAGCACAACAGAACTTGTCCGACCTCCAGGCCAGAGTTGGTATTCTTGAAGGTGTGTCTCTCGATGTCCTCGCATGGGTTGTGAATACTGATAGCCCTATGATCAGGGGAACTCGAGCACAGAGAGCCCAACCCTGCCGCTATTCAGGCTTACCGAGAGCAAGAGGCGCAATGTGTGCACCGGGGACAGGATCACGAGGAGAAGGCTACTGTGCATGCCGTGCGGAGAGCTGATCATGATGCACTCTGCAAACGCAGACAGGATGAGTTCATGCAAGGATTCAACAACATATCTCAGAAGCTTAAAACTCTGTACCAGGTGCGTGATCCGCCTGAACTGATGGGCACTCGAACCACTCTTTGTTAACGTTTGTAGATGATCACTCAGGGCGGGAATGCAGAATTGGAGCTTGTTGACAGCTTGGATCCGTTCTCAGAAGGCATCACCTTCAGCGTTATGCCACCCGGCAAAAGCTGGAGGAATATATCAGACTTATCTGGGGGAGAGAAGACTCTCAGCTCCCTTGCGCTTGTATTTGCGCTGCATCTGTACAAGCCGTCGCCTCTGTACTTTATGGACGAAGTCGATGCGGCACTTGACTTCAAGAATGTGTCCGTCATAGCAAACTACATCAAGCATCAGGCGCATGGCTCCCAATTCGTTGTCGTTTCCTTGCGGTGGGTCATGTACTTTTTCGCGATTATCGACTTCTGGCTTATTCCTTCGTTAGCAGCGACATGTTCGAATTGAGTGATCGACTGATCGGAATTTACAAGACTGGCCATGAGACACACGGTGAGCTTTCATCCGATAACATATTGGTAGCAGGCTGACACCCATATAAAGCCGTTACTATTGATAACAGTGACTTGCATGCATAATTTCAACCGATATAGAAAACGACCCCGGTGATTCAGTCTCCTGTGCCCTAATAGATCTGTCGTATTATCAGTAATGATGCCTTCATGTACCCGCTGATTCTGCGCTTGTTCCCGTACTCGTTTGACGTTGGCGCTGCTCTGGCCTGCCGTTGGCGCTGCGCTGGTCTAGGCTGGTCTGCCG